ATGCCACTAAACATGCCCCTAAACATGCTGCTAAACATGCTACTAAATATGTCTCTAAACATGCCACTAAACATGCCCCTAAACATGCTGCTAAACATGCCTCTAAATATGTCTCTAAACATGCCACTAAACATGCCCCTTAACATGCTGCTAAACATGCCACTAAATATGTCTCTAAACATGCTGCTAAACATGCTGCTAAACATGCCACTAAATATGTCTCTAAACATGCCACTAAACATGCCCCTAAACATGCTGCTAAACATGCTACTAAATATGTCTCTAAACATGCCCCTAAACATGCTGCTAAACATGCTGCTAAACATGCTGCTAAATATGTCGCTAAACACAAATGATTTGCCGGCAGTCACAGTTCAGGTACAACTTTAAAAGGATAGTCTAGTCATTTTTAAAATGATGTTCAGTCTACTCAATAGTCACTACCTTACCCGCCATGGCATCAGTCGTAGAGCACAACATTTGGAGAAAAGAGCAAAAGTCTTCATCCAGACTAGACTAAAAGCTGAAATGTTAGCTGAGGCTGTGGACTGTAATAATGCACCTGATCAGCACATTTTATCAGTCAAAGGTTTTCTCAACTTGCTTCAGATGGATTCATTCAGCAGTGACATGCTTAGCACACATTTGCACTGTAACATGGAACAGACTCTTGCTTGGGTAGCCATTAGCCTAACCCAGAGAAAGAACTTGGCCTTTTTTCTATACTTTGTGGTGAAACACTGATAGCTTACTAACGATTGATAAATAATAGATTGACATCACTTCAAAATTGACCAGACTATTTCTCTAAGCCAATTTTTAATTTAACTGTTAAAAATACACAAAGAATCACTGGGTGGGTCATTAAGTACAACCATGATGACAATACTGTTGCCATAAACACACACACAAGCATGGCTCACATGAAGTCAAAGTTTCTTTATTTGTCGTTTGCACCCCATGTGGTACACGTGGTGGAACAAAATTATGTACACAGGGTCCCAGTTACATTCAAAAAAAGTATAAATTGTAAAAGAAAAACAGCAATAAGATCTAAGATATGAACTAAGAATACACTAAGCACTAACAGAACAAAAACAATACACTGAACAACAGAAGCACGAACATGAGTCTGTGTGAGCAGATGAGTTTGAATGAATAATTAAGAATAATTAAGAAGCACTCACACCAGTAATGACAGTAAATATGTTGATGGTAGCATGTGAGCATCCAAAGTACAAGGAAAAGCTCCTCTGGTACATGATTCTTTTTTAAACTCAGAGTGAAACATGCAGCAAGATTCAAAGATCTGCTTCTATCAGTGCTTTGTCTAAAAACATGGGCGGCTATGGCGGAGTGGTTAGAGCAGTCGTCCTCCAGTGCAAGAGTTGGGGGTTCGAGTCCACCAGCAGTCACATGCTGAAGTGTCCCTGGGCAAGACACTGACCCCCTCATTGCCTCCCATGTGTGTCCCATCGTGTATGAATGTGATAAAGCTCTGATTAGTCTCTGTAGAGAGTGCTGTACAAATGGGTAAATGAGGCACAGATTGTATCCAAAAAACGTTCAATACAAAAGAAGCACAGATTGTAGTGTACAGAGCTTTGAGTATCTCAGTAAGATGGAAAGGTGCTATATAAGTACGGTCCATTTACCATTTTAAAAACAATACCCACCAGCACATGAGCTGTGCCTGAACAAATCACAGGCTGTCTCTGGTGTGGGAGCTGTTTACCAGACTGTGCTGACAAGTTCTCCCTCTACGTCACTGTCCCTCTGCCCTCCTTTTCAGGCACAGCCAACAAACCTTAAAAAAAACAAGTACGGTAATGTGCCCGTCTTTAATTACTGATTTAAACAGTGATAAATTACATAAACGATTGACAGAAGCTAATAAAATCTTAGCATTTTAGGAGCTTGTTCTAATCTAATAATGTGGTTTACACATCTGAAAAATTGTCCATTCTACTCAACATTTTACAACTTTATCTACTAATTAAATACAGATTTTATGTTTCTCTCTTTACCCACCTGTCATCACTTCCAAATGCTTTTGTGCAAGTTGTATTTGTAAATACAATACAATAATACAATACAACTTTATTTATAGAGCACTTTAAAACAACACTGTTGGCCAAAGTGCTGTACACTAGGACATACAAAAACATAAAAACCCCACACGTTAAAAATGTGAAATAAAATAAAGATAACAAATAAAATAAAACAAATAACTTAGAGTCATTAAAACCAACATTTCAAACTGAAGTAAAAGCCAAAGAGAAAAGATGTGTCTTCAGAGAAGACTTAAAAACAGGAAGTGAGCCAGCTTGTCTGACATGCAGAGGCAGCTCGTTCCACAGTTTAGGGGCAGCGACTGAGAACGCTCGGTCACCTCTCAGTCTCCTGTTGGACCTTGGGACGACCAGCAGCAGCTGATCTGCTGACCTGAGAGAGCGAGAAGGAGTGTACAGCTGGAGCAGGTCGGACAGATACTGTGGGGCGAGACCATGAAGACATTTGAAAACAAATAAAAGAACCTTAAAATTAATCCTGAAGCGAACCGGGAGCCAATGTAGTGATTCTAAAACAGGGGTGATGTGTTCTCGTTTTTTGGTACCAGTTAAAAGGCGGGCAGCTGCGTTCTGAACCAGCTGAAGTCGAGTCAGTAATGACTGGCTCAGACCGACATAAAGAGAATTACAGTAATCCAGGCGAGTTGTGATGAAAGCATGGATTAAGATCTGAAAATGATGTTGTGACAGAAATGGTTTGACCTTGGCCAGTTGTCTCAAATG